CAATCAATAAATCATCATTTTGTTGGATGTGACGAGTAACATTGGATTTTTTTTCCTTATATTTTTACATTGCAGTTATAAATTCGGTGAAAAGTTTTTGAAAGAACAAAATTAAAAGGAGCAAATCCTTACATAAATGTTACATTTAATACAATTTAATTATGCCAAATTTCCCACCTTTTAAGTTTTACTTTCTACGGTGCATAAAATTTTTTCAGGATGTCTTCGTCGGAGGTACAGAATCATCAGCAGTGTTAACTGAATGGACAATGTCAGAACTAATGAAACACCCGGAAATGATGGCTAAAGCACAAGACGAAGTCCGACGAGCTCTCAAAGGAAAACCTCAAAATCTAGAGTATTTATCTTCACAACTTGGTGAACTAAAATACTTAAACTCGGTAATCAAAGAAACTCTTAGGCTCCACCCACCGGCTCCATTAATACCCAGACTCTGCAGAGCAACCTGCACAGTTCAAGGATACTCCATACAAGCGGGAACCAGAGTCACTATCAATGTTTGGGCTCTGGGCCGAGATCCAAACCGCTGGGCCGACCCTGAGATTTTCAAGCCTGAGAGGTTTGAGGAGAGCTCTATCGATTTTAAGGGAGTAGATTATGAGCTCCTTCCATTTGGTGCAGGGAGAAGAATATGTCCCGGGATTACTTATGCAATGGCTAATATCGAGCTTGTGTTGGCCGCGCTTCTGTTGTGGTTCGATTGGAAACTTCCTGATGTGATGAAGCCTGAGGATCTCGACATGACTGAGACTTTCAGTGCGAATTCTGGAAGGAAGAAAGAGCTCTATTTGGTTGCTACTCCTTTTGATTGACTACCTAGATTCAAGCAAACTAGTTCCTTAATTTGTCCCTTTGTATATTTTCTTTGGTTAATGTTTTATTGTGTGATTCTGATTATTTTACGTCTGATGAAGTAAAGCGTAAGTGTGAAGCGTGTCAGGTCAAGTGTTGCTCGAGAAAGTGAAAATGATTCATGGCGTGCACTCAAAGAATATCAACTCTTGGATCATTGAACTTTATATTTTGTACATTAATTCAACGACTGATATCCCTTGAATGCGTATTTAATGTCATAGTCAGTCAAATGCAATACATATAGTCAATTCCAAAAGCTTATAGTGTTGTTTGCTTGCGCGCGTGTGTGTATATATATACCCTTATATTGTTGAGGAATTTTCGTCTTCCCACGTACTATGATCTTCGCAACTCGGAAGTCAACCCACAATCAGTAAGATATAAAATAGTCACAATCAACAAGAAAAACATCATGATTTACGTGGTTTGGTCGACCAACTTTAACCTACATCCACGGGGCAACAATACGAGAAATTCACTATGTATCAGGGAGAGCTACAAGAGGAACCACTCAACTCTCTGTTGGCCTTCTTGTTTTGATGATGATTTACAAACAATTTACATCTAATATTGTTTGTCTAGTGTTTATATTTTATATTTATTCTAAGCAAACAATATGTTGGAGGATGGATGGTTTGCTCCATAACGATCATATAAAATGGAGGTTGGCGGAATAGTGGTTGAAGTCTTGCAATTCAAGTTAAAGATTCAAGTTCAAGCTTTATCCGCAAGTATACCAAGTCAAGCTTATTGAAGATCAAGATAGCTTGGATAAATTTAGTTTTAGGTTTTATATTATGTGTGTTAGTACTTTAAGCTCAATCATATACACACATACACGTTTTGGTTTTGTATATATATATATATATACATATATGTTTTGATTTGATAGTTTTCAAGTTTTATATAAAACATTTGAATATAATTAGAAAACATATTTTTGCAAAATATGCAATTTTGTGAAAATATTGTTTTCTTGGTTTATGGACTTAATAACAATCATATACATCTTTTATTAAGTCTATATAATCATTTTGTAATGTTTCAAAACATGGTTAAGCTAAAATGTCAAAACTTATATGTTTACATTTTCATGTTTTGGACTATTTTGTAAAATGATGATATTTTTTATTTGGAAGGTCCTTTTTAAAAATCAGTTATTGTAGCATGTTTATTATCATGTCTATAATTATTTTCCAAATTTTTATATTTTTTAAAATTTATTTGATATTTTTAAACAGGGTGTTAAAATCAGAAAACTGTTTCAAACCTGTCAATTTCTAGTATCAGTTTGCAGTCGACCGTCACGGTCGACCGCCTTGAGTCCAGAGACTCAGATTGGTTTTTGATGGCTCGTGGTCGACCGTGGCAGTCGATCGGATGAAGTCAACCGCCACGGTCGACCGGCTGATGTCCAGAGCCAAAGTTCTGTTTCTGACCTGCTCGCGGTCGATCGCCATTTCCTACGGTCGACCACCGATCTGTCATTCAGTCTCCAACGGCCAGTTTCCAGAGCCATTTTTCGGGTTGGTTTTTTGGTCTTTTCTTGGCTTTCTCTTGGCTTTGGGATTTCATATAAATACTCCCTTATGCCTCAGTTCTAGATGTATCTAAGAGAATGTTTTAAAAGAGTTTAATAAGGGTTTAAGCTTGTTTTGAGTTTGTTTAAAAGAGTGTTTAAGAGTTTGTTTGTGAAGAGAATTTCACAAGAGCTTGAGGAGATCATCAATCTTGTTTGAGCTTCAATCTACATCGCTCCACTCTTATTTTATTGAGAAGTTTTCTAAACTCTATTTCTAGCTCTTTTATATATTTGATTATCATTGTTATTAAGCTAGAACTATATTGAGTTTAGTTTTGATTTATATCTCTTTATTCACACACAACCTATTGAGCTTATTGTATTTACATTCATAGTATAATTTAGGGTTGTGGGTTTGTGACTAAGAGTTGTGCTTAATTGAGTTCTCGTCCATTAAAGAGAACAACCATTGTTGTATTTGTGAGCCTAATTATGTAGATCACTTTGTAATACACTTGTACACCGAGAGGAGTGTGTGGTGAGAGACGGGGTCGTCCCAAGAGGAGTGCAGTAGGTGGTAATTCCTCAAGGTAGGTTGTAATTCCTAATACTTGAGTGAGAAACGGACTAGAGACCAACACTTGAGAGGGTGTTAAGCGTGATTATAAGAGTGTGGATTGTAAAGTTTTCGATTAGCTAGAAAACCGTATTGTGTGGTGTAAACGTTATTCGGGTAAGTGTAAAAAACCCGGTTGTGATAGTGAATTTCTCACCGGGAGTGGGGAGCGGAGACGTAGGACGGAATGTCTGAACTCCGTGATCATTTCATGTGTTTCAGTTTGCTTTGGCGCACTTACTCTTATGTTTATATTTCTTATCGCCTTTGTCCATTGCTCATTATTTATATCATCCACTATCTTGTTTATTTTGTTTACCCTTGTGTATATCACTTATCCTAGCTCACATATCTTGTTGTATTTTATACTTGCTAGAATAATTTGTTAATTAGCTTTAATTGGCATAAAATCGGATTAGATTAGCATAAGACCCTAATCACCCCCCCCTAGGGTCTAACACTCTCGTCTCTCAGTCTCTCAACCTCACATACATAATCAACTCTCATATTCTATCAAAAACCCACTCCTTACAATCTTTTAAATGAACAAAGACTGTGTAACCATCTCCCGATATTGTAATCTTTTATACGGACAAAGACTATGAAACTCTCACCTCTCGCACAATATTCTTGAATCGGTCTACGCCCTCTGCTAACCCTAGATTACAAGAATATTGGTTCTCTCTCCTTTCTAATTAGTTTTTCCTCCAACAATAGAAGAATATATATATAAGAAAACTAAAACACTATCTCTAGCCTAACTGTCTAATTGTAATAGGATTCAAACACCTAATCATGATGACATACAATCTCCTAATCATGATAGATTTCTAACACTATCTAATTCTCATGAAGTTATACAAAGAATCAAAGATACAGTCCTAACAATCTCCATCTTTGATTTTATTCCCAAACTCCCTTGAAGAAATATCATCGCCGTCTTGAAACTTTGGCTCTCCCGCTAACTTCTTCTATTCTTTTGCACTTCAAATTGAAGCACCCACACTCCTAATCAAAACATCTGTGCTACAATTAGGGCATTCTGTTTTCGTCGAAAGTTGCCTTCATCATTGATTTCATTAAACTTCAAACGTTACAAATGAATTCAAACAACAAAGAAATAAAAATTACAACTTTCTTGAAAATAAACACAAGATCCGTTCGTCGTCTCTTGCTTGCGTGGGTCTTTAGCTTGTGACGGGGACGTCGATATCCGTGGACTACCTGGCAATCAGATCTGATCCAGAGCTTCGTCGATCCGCGAGGAGATCTAGAAACTTGAAGTGCCTATCTCGATAAAAGCGAGATATTTGCTCTTCTTAGTATTACCACAACAGGATAATACTAAGGATCGGGTACGGGTGATGTAGATCTGACGAAGAAACTCTCTTGCGTTGAAGTGCTCGATCACTCTTCACTCCGGCAGGGCTTCGCCAAGTCTCCAAAATTCCAGATCTCAAAAAATGAGACCTAAGGCTTGTATTTATAGGCATGAGGGGTTGCGGAGCGGTTAAAACTGCTTAAAGGGGTCAAATCTGCATTGAGACACCCTAGGGGTGTCCTGGCCTGGCCGAGACACCCTTGGGGTGTCTCGGCTAAACCGAGACACCCTAGGGGTGTCTTGGCCTGGCCGAGACACCCTTGGGGTGTCTCGAGACACCCTTGGGGTGTCTTGGCTTCGCCGAGACACCCTTGGGGTGTCTTGGCTTCGCCGAGACACCGTAGGTGCCTCAGTTCAGCTTTGAGACGTTTTCAATGCCCGTTTGACTGTTTTCGCTGCAACTTCTTTGTCTGAACTCGGATCTGAGTGATTCCAAATGCGTTGGAAAGCCGACAAGGAGTTCTATCAGCTCCAATAGTTGGATCATCTGTTGAATGAATGAGACACGAAGGGCGTTGTTCCTTTTGTAAACACCGCGGGGCTCTCGATTAGCCCGTACCTTCGTTATTCCGAAATTCTGTCAGCTCACGTAGTTCGTCGGTTCACTTCAAGCGTTCACCGACACCAGTCGAACTCCTGTGAACCAAATAGTGACGTTCATTGTCGTTCCTTAACACTGAGCTGTTCGTGGAGACCTATAGGCAATTTTCAACGCCTACAGTGAGCCTATTAACCTTGCAAATGACAACGACAATGATAACGGTGACTGCATTCCTATGACTCAAAAATCTCTTCATACAGCAAACTATTGTGATAAATACACTCAATCCCAAAACAACAACGCCAGGGCAATACACCATGACAATGCCAAAAAGATAGCATCTCATAAAGGAAAAGCTGAAGATGTCACAGTTTGAGCATGAGATAATGCAACAAATGGTAGATGAAGTAAAACACTTTTCTTCATCTATGAAAGATGTTAATATGCACTGGACGGAGAAATTGTCTAAAGCTATCTTTGGGCATAAAGATAATTACCCAATAGAAATATTTCGTCGTACGTTGATTTTTTGATCGCAACGCATTGACTGGCGTTGACCTAGGTTTACGCGTTGACCGGCGTTGACCCTAGGGTTTCGAAAGTCGAATGTTAATTTTTTGGTCGCAACGCGTTGACTGGCGTTGACCTAGGGTTACGCATTAATCGGCGTTGACCCTAGGGTTTTGGATCGTCAAACGTACTTTTTGGTCGCAACGCGTTGACTGGCGTTGACCTAGGGTTACGCGTTGACCGGCGTTGACCCTAGGGTTTCGAACGTCGAATGTTGACTTTTTGGTCGTAACGCGTTGACTGGCGTTGACCTAGGGTTACGCGTTGATCGGCGTTGACCTTAGGGTTTCGAATCGTTCGGTGTTGATTAGTATGGATCTTGTCGAAATATCCAACCATCGATGAAAAGTAGGCGAATTCGGACTTCAAAAAGGGTTCGAGGGGGCTCGAATTGGGTTGAGACACTCCAAGGGTGTCTCAACTTGGCCGAGACACCCTTGGGGTGTCTCGGCCA